AGCCTGCAAGCTGCTGCCTACAGTGTCTGAACAACTCTGGACAAGACCAGCAGGACCTTGGGTGGAAGCTGCTGGAAGCCTGAGGAAGGGCAGGTGGAAGAACGTTAGAGTTAGGGAAAATGTCCCAGAGAAAGCCACCCCGGAGGAAGGGCTGAGAGTAAGGAAACACGGGGGAAATGGAAGAAAAGCATTCCGGGCAGGGATACCAGAGAGAAGCACAGTCTTGAAGATTGGAACTGGAGCAGACAGGGCTGGCAGGGCTGAAGACGAGAACATGAGAGGACAGGTCAGTTTGAGGGATTTGGAGAAAACAGATTTCTGTCTCTCAGCCAGCGGCATTCAGATTGCTGCTCCAAGCAGGGGCCTCAGGGCACACCCTCTTTCCTGGCTCTGCCTGTGGCCCCACAGATTGCCCCCCAGCCAGCCCGCAGGAAGGACAGAAGGAGGCCTCGCACACGCTCCCCACACGGCCTGAGATAAATATTTCCCGGGAAACGGAACTTGTTCTCTCTGTGTTTACAGCTGAGGGCCAGGCAGGACGGTGGAGGCGGGGCAGCGGGGAGGGGCTGGCCCCAGCAGCCTCATTCCAGAGCCCTGAGCATCTGGCTAGGCACTGCCTCCGACCTACTGTGCTCCTCTGAAGCAAACCCTGCCTCTCTCTCAGATCCCTCCCAGGTTCTGGAAGGCCTGGATGTCCCTGGGCCTTGGCCTACCTACCGCCTGGCCTCATCTCAGTTTGCGTTCTCTGAGTATAAGTCCCAGGGCTTGATGCCTTCCTTTCAGACTAGGTTTCTCTGATAGCTGCACCTGTGATGTCCTAGTCAGTCCAGGGGTGTGGACAGATGGATGGGAAGACATACAAACAGACTGGAGTTATAGATAAACTGCCTCCCAGGCCCCACGTCACTGTACACCCCAGGCCTGTGCAGCCCGACAGGTGGGCACAGACATCTGGCAGGGCCTCAGGGCCCCCATAGATGCCAGATGTGATGGCTAATTTGTTGGCAGCAGCTCCCGTGGGGCCACAGGGCATCACAGAGGCCACTTGCTGATGTGCAGAATCCAGGAGGAGCAAGTGGGGCTGGCAGTGAGGAGCATTTGCTCTAGAATTTTAAACTCAGGGCTGCAGAGTGCTACTTCCAGTGCCCTTCCAGCCTCACCCCAGTGCTCCCTGCTTGGGAACCTGTGCCCGCAGACATGTGATGCCTTCTCCCATAAGCCTGGTGCAGGCTGACAAGCCATCAGCAGACCTGCCACAACTCCCTTGGTTGGCCTTGATGAGTGCTATCTCACACCTAGGCCTCTCACTCACCATCACTACCCTCAACCTCAGCCCCAATCCAGAGCCTAAGCCTTCCTCGGACCACAGCTCGACGGCATCAGAAGTTTTTGGAGCCATGTTCTTAGCACTGGGCCAGCATCTTGCGGTCCCCTCTGGGGTGGAGTCTTTGTTTGAGGCTCCTCTATCTGCTTGTTCCCAGGCCTGTGCTGGTCTTTGCTGCCTTTAACTGGTCCTATCAGGCCCACATGGACCTCTCTGTCTGCCCAGCAGGTCTCTGGCCTCACTAGTTCATGGCCTTGACTCTCTCTGTCACAGTTCCAAGGCCACTTCCTCCAGAATCTCCAAAACTGGTCTAATCCAACAGTAGACCCTACTCACAGCCATTCTCATTCACTCAAGAAGTCTTTACCGAGCACCTACTCTACACCAGGCCTATGCTAGGCCCTGCAGGTGCCCATGAGAGGTGTAGGCAACTCCGTTTTCTACAATCACATGGGAAAGGATGGACAACCCACACAATCACATAAGGCAACAAGTCACCAACTGTGAGATCAGGGAAAGTCGGGAGCTGTGGGTGCCCAGGAAAGGGAAGAGACTGACTCACTCTGAGGTGGTGGGAGCCATCTGAGAGGACTTCACAGCAGAGGAGACATTCAATCCAGTAGGTAAAAGAGTAGGTGAAGAAAAAAGAGAAAGTTGCTCCAGACAAAAAGGTCAGTGTGAGCAAGAGCAAGGGGGTCAAAAGAACTGGGGGGTGCTGGAGGTCTGAGCATGGCTATGAGGCTGAAGCACTGGTGGGAATGGGGGGCAAGGAGTGGATGGGAGGGGACCCAGTAAGCAAGGGGAGCAGTGTCATGCCACGGGGTGTGGTCCTACTTATCTTCAGGGCAGCAATAGAGGAGTCAGTGCCGGGCTGTACCCTTGAGAGTCTAGTGTGAATACCTGTGCCCTTACCCTGGTCTTCTTCCCCATCCCATCCCAGCTGGGGTCCCGAGATGCCATCTGGACTCTGAAAACTGGCACAGAGAGGGAGGGCATTGATGAGTATGCTAGGCTCACCAACTTGATCTGTCTGAGCCCCAGCTTCTGGACAGCAATGATACAGAAGCCCAGGATCCTGGGGGAGGACACCAGGCTTTACCCAAGAAGCCCTATCACCACCACCCAGCTGGCCAGCAGCTAGGGAGCCAGCCCAAGGGAGTGAGCTGAACCCATGCCACTGGGTAGGGGATGGTTTTGGCAGTGCTGCTTTCCTGGCTGGCACCCAGCAGTACCAGGGGAACATGCCATGCGCACAGAACTTCCCCTGGCCCCGGCCAAGCCCCCTGGCGTGCCCTGTCTCCTGGGGATACACCCAAGTGTTGGCCCCAAGGATCAAATCCTGGAGGGAGATAAGGAGGGGGCAGCTCTCCAAGGACCTGCCGTGGGCGAGGCACTCACCCTTATCTTTGTAACTTCTCCCAGCATCTCTGTGCATTAATGCTCAGCAGCCGTGATTCTGCCCTGTGAGACTGGAGGGTCTTACCCTGCTTGTGGATGATGAGACTGATATTTAGTCTAGCTAAGCAATTGGACAAAGGTCACAGTTCTGGGAAATGGAGAAGCTAAGACTTGAACCCATGCTTACCTGACCCCTGGTTCATCCATTCTGTGACCAATTTGTGTCTCTAGCCTCCATACAACCAGAGTCCTCAACAGGCTCTCCAATCCCTCTCCTGCTTTCTCTCCAGCATCCTATAGTCTGACCAATACCCTTGGGTCCTGGTTATCTCCAATCTTGTCCTCCTCCTTGAGGAGTCCCTGAGGGCATCCTTTATCTTCCCTAGCAGGGCTGAGCATGGGCAGAGAACTTAGGGTGAGGGTGCTGCCAGAAGGTCAGGCAGACAACGAGCTTTGGCATAGGTATGGGGTTTGGGGCAGGACAGAGCTCAGAGCTGAGTTGCTTGAGGCCTGAGATCCTCAATCCTAGGAAGAAGGCAATAGAACCCAGGCAAAAGACAAGCTGAGAGAGAATACAGGGATGAGCACAAAGGGCTGATCCAGAAAGCCCTCATGGAGAGGATGATGTTGGTGGAGTAGCAAAGGGACAGAGCTTGAACTTGGAGAGAGCAGGGCCAATGGCCTAGGATAAGGGTCTGTGCACAGAAGCATAAACAAGAACCCTAAAAACAGCTTCTTTTTCTCTGGGTCCAATCCCTGCTACCCAGGAGGGCCTCAGCTTCTCCAAATGTCCCTCCCCTCATGGCTTCCTGGGTGGGTGACAAATCTAGTCTTTTCTGGCAGGTGGCCGAGGCTGCTGCGACACTGCCGGCTCCCAGGAACACCATCTGTCCTGGCTCTGGGGGGAGCTCCCGCCCCATGGGGAATGCCACTGGCAATAAAATAAATAATAATGACTCTCCAGGCCCTCCCCCTCCCTGTCCCTAGGTCAGCTCCCAGCAACAGGGCTTGGTCCCCCTGGCAGGGACATTCTCAGTCCTGCCTCCTTCCCACCTTACACAAAGGCAGGGAACAAGAGAGGTATCTGGACTCCACTCTCCCCTGATTCACTCACAGCACCCTCTCTAGGCCACAGCTTCCCCAAATATAAGGTGAGAACCAGACAAGGGATTGTGGCTAGAATGCCTAGCATAGCCAGCTTCATCCTCTCAGCCAGCCTGGGCCCATGAGCTGACTCATAGGCCAATTCATACACAGAAACCACACACACGCACACACATGCATATACGCACATGCACGCCACTTTTCTTCCTCATTGAACACAGAAGATTCCTTCAAGGCACCCCAGAGGCATGGCCAAGGGCTGGGGCTTGCATCCCTCCTATAACAGAAATGCACTGGCTGGGCCTATCGCAGGCACCCATCCAGGGCAGTGGGAACTCAGGTATGAAAAAGGTGTGTCCCCAGGGTTGAGGGGCATACAGAGCAGAGAAGATGAGCTAGCTACACAGACATGCAGTCACATGGTGCAGAAAACAGGGTGCTTGAGGCACACACAGTGGGTGACAGACAGCAGGATGCCCCAGCATCCAACTGCCAGGCGGGAGAGCTCAGAGGAGGAAGTGTGAGCCAGCTGGGTCTGGAGGTGATGGAGGGCGGGTGGACATCCCAGAGGAGGGAGGCTAGAGCAGAGCCCAGAGTAGTTTAGGAGGCCAGGAAGGGTAGAAGCCAGTAGGAGGAGTTTTGGAGAGGCAGGTGTGGGTGAAGGGGGACTATGTCAAGCTGGGACATCAGAAGGGGCCAAGGGATGGGAACATGGAGAAATGTTGAGCAGGAGAATGACAAGTTCCAGGCTGTGTATTAGAAAGAGGCTTCTGGCAGCCTCGTGGAGGATGCGGGCAACTGAGAGCAGGCAGCCAGGAAATGCTGGGGGAGCTGAGGGGTGCAGGACTCAGGCAGCAGCAGGACTGGAGACAGAACAGGAACTCAAGAGGTTCTCAGAGTAGGGAATCAACAGGGAGTTGTCAGTGGGGATGGAGAAGATGAGAAAGGAGTCTGCAGTGACTCCCAGGTGAGTTGGTGGGAACCCAAGGTTGTGCATATATAGAGTCAGGGGAGAGGGTGTTAGTGTGAGGTAACCCTAGGCTGGAGGGGGCGGGGCTGGGATTCGGCTCCAGCCTCCCAGTCCTCCCAGGGATAAAGGCAGCCCTCAGACTGACCTCCAGCCTGCGCCCCCACCCCCCAGGCCCACCCACTCCTCCCTCCGATGAGCTCTCACCTCCAGTCGGTCGTCTCTACTCCCCAGGGGCTCTGGCTTCTGTGCAAGGGGGTCCTGGCTGGCTGCAGAGACAAGAAGGCCAGGGGCTGAGGCCTGCCAGGCCTTCTCCCCTTCTCCCCAGGCTGCCCTCCTGGCAGCCCCCAGCAAGCCCACAGTAGGCTCCTCCCCCGGGGAGCCTACTTGCACCCTGTACTCTCCCCAGCTCCTTTCTTGCTCTCTGCTTCTTCCTGTGGCTCTGTAGTGTTCTACAGAGAATGGAAATGTAGGGTTCTCAGGAATGGAAAGACGGAACCTTTACCTTATAAAACCCCCTCCACTTTTGCTTCTCTCCAGGAAACTCCGCCAGCCCTCTCTAAGCCTCAGTTTCCCCATCTATAAAATAGGATCTGTACTGTCCAGCTGGCAGAGCCACTGAGCCTCCACAGTGGGCTGGGCCTTGGCTCACAGACAACCAAGGGGGCCCCCAACCCAGGGTGCTGTGAATCTCGTGTGACTGTGATCTCATGGGTTAGCTCTCACCCCAGCCTGACACTGAGTCCCCCTGGCCCGAACTACACCTTCCACCCACTTCCCCCCAGTAACTAGTCCTCAAATGTGGGCAGTGGAGACACTGCCACAGGGCCTGGCTGACACTTGGAACCCCGCTCCCTTGTTCTCTGGGAGCCCACCACCCAGCCCACTTCCAGAAAGCCCAGCTTCCTGCACAGGAACTGCCCTGGGGCAGGCTATGGGCTCCTGCCCCTCCCCACCCCCACCAACAACATGCCCAGGATCGGACAGGCGGTGGGATATTCTGAGCCTGGCTTCATTCCCGTCAGCTGCTGGCCGCCATGCCAGCCTGGCGCGGGTGCAGGGGCTGATTTGATTTGGCAGCTTTGGAAGCGTGTGGTGGGGACAGGGAGGGGGAGGGGGATGAGACACCCATCCCTGCTAGGAAATAAACAGCCTCAGGCACTCAGCGAGCTCGGGGGAGAGCACAGTCTGGCACAAGAAGGGGGCTTCTGAGTTTCCTGCCTGGTGTCACCCTCTTCTCACCCAGGCACTGGACACCTGCCCACCTGCTGGAATCTCTGGCTGTCTTTGGGTGACCCAAGAGGTGACAGTACTGCACCTGGTACATGGATGCTTGTGGAGTGTCTGTGGCAGGACATCTGGTTGTTTCACACATCCCTGTGTCTTGCTGGGTCTCCCTGCTTAGCTGTGTTTATAGCTGGGTCTGACTGTCGCCCAGGGTGACAATGTGGTGACCTAGGGGTGGCCATCTCCAGAAGTGGTCAAGGCAGTGTGGGTGGACCTCTGCAGGGGACTGATTGCCCGCTAGGGCGTGACGAGGTCACTCATGTGCCTGACTACTGTAGGGCCTGGCATGCACTGGCTCTGCCCTCATTGCTTCCCTCTGTGCGATGACCCCACTAACCCGGCTCTGTCCGGCAGAGGAAATGACGAGGGCTGAGATAAGTGCCTGACCCCTTTTGTCCACAAAGCGTGAGCCTTCTCTTCCTGATGTCTGTGCATTGCGTTGCCCAGCAGCCCCTTCCTCCTGGCCCCAGAAAGGAGGCCGTGCTAGTTCACTTGATTCTCCAGCTGTCCCCAGGCCTCTGGCTGCTCCTGGAGAGGTCATTCTACAGCACAGCACTGCCTGGGGCCACTAGGGTTCCTGCCTGTCCCTTCCTGGTTCTCCTCATAGGAAGAGGAGCCTCAGTGAGGCCTTCACATTTCCTCCACTACCCGACCCAGCCTCAGGGCTGCCTACTGTCCCACCCCTCTCCCTCTCCTGGAGCCACAAAGCCCAGTTCACACTTAGCACTAGATGCCCTGGGAATCTGCACCGATGCCAGTTACAGCTGGGACCCCGGGGCTCTCTGACCGCTGTCCCCTTGTCAGAGAGGTCAGACTAGGACCCTAAGCGGGCCGCTCACCTGTGCCCAAGACACCAGGCAGGGAGATCAGGGTAGGGTGGAGCCTGCTTTGGGGAAGATGTAGCTTTCATCTGTTACTGCCTCACCATTGTCCTGCTGTCCTCTGGGGACTTCAAATCTCTCCCCACCCAGCCACAGGAAGCTGAACCCTCCTAAAGACACTGAGGGGGGCCTCCAGGACTGCGGGAGAGACAGCTCTGCTCTCAGGGTTCACAGGAAGAACTGAGGCTCATAGAGCTCCGCTGTCCCAAAAGAACTAGTGGGGTGCAGAAGACCAGTGGCAGGCCTGAGTGGCTTCCTGGAGGAGGCACATGGAGACTCACAGGAAAGGGAAAATGCCAGGTTCCACGGTAGCTTCCAAACTGTGTGGTGAGGATTTCACCCAGAACGTGTGTGCTCAGGACATACTTGCATGTATTTGCGTGTCTGCGTACATGCATGTACATTCAGACACAGAACTTGAGCTCTGGTCTCAATCCCAAAAGCAGGGTCTGCCCAAGGTAGGGGTTGGTCAGGCAGTGGGGACAGTAAAGAAGAGAGGGGTCTGGATAAAGAAAGGGAAGAGACGGTAGCTCAGGGGTAGGGGAAAGGGCCTGGGAAAAAAGCCCACATGCTTCAGGAAGTGCCTGATGCTCAGCCTGGGCTTGTCCTCGACGTCAGTTCTCAAACCTTGGACCCCTGGCACCAAGGACAGCATGTGTCATGACCCAAAGATGGAAGTGGTACAGCATTCAGCTCTGCCACAGCCTACTGGGTGGCTTTGGACAGGACTTTTCCCTCTCTGAACAAGTTTCCTCACCCAAAGAAATGGGTTGACCTCTTAGGGTCCTCCCAAGTCTATTTTCAGGAGAGACCTACACCCCAAAAAAGCCAGAGACAGAGATGTCCAGAGACTGAAAGACAGCCCAGGGCCAGGCAGAGGTGAGAGGGAGGCTGGACAGCAGGAGCAGAGGGTGACAGGCTGGGCAGCTGGGGAGGGTCCTGCTTCCACTGCTGCTCCCCAGGTGTCCTGGGGAAATGGGGAGGCTGGAGCAATAAGAAGCACCCGAGGAATCAGGGAGGATCAGAATGGGGATTCCAGGTCCTGCCATGCAGAGTGTCCCACAGGGCTGGCTGGGATCTGTGACCTCAAGGCTACGGAAGCACTCAGATGAGTGCAGCCATGCTGGGTTTCTAAAGGCACACTGGGAAGGATCTAGAAAGCCAGAAGCCTCCCTGGAACCCTGTCCCTCCCCACCTCTGGCCTTCCCGAGGCATGAGCTGGACCCAAGAGAGATATTGGACAGCTGCACTGGCCTTGTGCTAGGCTGGAGCTGAGGGCCTGTGACATAGGCATCGAGGCCCCATCAGCAATTCAGCCAGTATGAAGAGTGCTCAGCTCTGGCTCTCCTGGCCTACGTTCCTGTCTGAACCTTTGGTCCTGGGCCTTCACAGGCAGGCGTTTGTGCCTCCATGCCTGTGTCCAGGAAGTGCTCATGTCCTGTTTTCCCCTCAGACCGGGATGCCAGGAAAGGGGGGGCAAGCAGGCCTCTCTTTCCTCTACTAGTAGTCCACACTTCTGCCCAGAGACTTTGGGGGCTGGGAGGAAAGGCGCTCCTCTCTACCAAAGTCTGAAATGATTGGGGAATGAGGGGAAGGACAGAAGGAATGACTCCCCAAACCTGCAGGCTTAGGGATATCTCTTGCATACACACACACACCAGTTTTGTCATGGCAGGAGGGACTGTGTGGTTGGGTTGAAAGTGTCTTCTGGGTCTTCAGGCTCCTGCAATATCAGTGCGCCTCTCCCTCCTCCCCTCCCTCACTGGGATGGGGCTGGGGACACCCACCACCCCAAGCTATCCATCTCCATTGCTTCTTGTTATGTTTTTAATAACTGAACATTGACATTAACAAGGCAGGTGGCTGCGGCTCTTCCCAGCAGCCCCATTTAGAATCACTGAATCATCAAATCGTCAAATCCTAGAATCCTGGATGCTGCACAGAATGTCCGCATCCTCAGCTCCCTGAGTCTCAGCAGCTTAAAGTCACAGAATGTTGGAATCACAACCACACACCTACCCAGTCCCAGCTCAAAGCTGAGAGCTGTGGAAGCCTAGCATCGTCCCAGTGAGGGCCCCAAACCAACAAGCCCAGATTCTCAAATCACACACCACCCTCGGAGATATTGACTCCCAATTCCTCCTTTTACAAGTAAGAAAATACAGCTCAGAATATGGCGTTGGGCAAGATTACCAGAAAGTAAGGACCCAGCGATGCCCAATCTGGAGACTGCAAGATCAGACCTCAGAATGCCTGCATTCCAGGAAATTGTGAAATCCGGTGTTTGTATAGGGTGATGCTGCTCCTCAGCTTGCTTACTTCCCCTTTCAGCCCCTACACTTCTCTCCTGCTTTCTCCACCCTGTCCTGGGTGTCCCCAAATAGAGGCAACTAGGGATGGGGTGTCCAGGACCGATTCCCTCAAGCAGATGCCTGCCCACTGAAGCCACCAGCTGGAGGGGGAGGGCAGGTTCCTCAGAGGAGGGGCCCTGTCAGCTCCTCTCCAAGAAGCTGAACAGGAAGGAAGGCCCTGGCCCCCAAGGCCACCACATCAGAGGCAGTGGCTCCTATGGAGCTGGATCCAAAGTCCAGGGAAGCAGCTGAGACTGACAATTCACATTAGAAAGATCATGTATGTTTAGCATTTTCATAAATTTACATTTCTCCTCATTTTGGAATGTTCTCATGCATTTTTGGATATGAATTTTATTAAATATTACATTTCACAGATTGTTTTAATTTTTTATTTTAGAACATTCTTGGCCCAAGGCAGATGCTGAGTTTGCCATGGTATAGGTGAGGACATAGCCCAGAGCAGGGTCCAGCTCTCTGGGGCTCTGTTTAGCCTCAAAGCTCATGATCTCCTGGGAGGCCTTCCTGAGACAGGCCTGGGCTTTGCCCTTACACAGTCTCCCATGCTGCACCTCTCCGACACCCAAAGCATCAAAGCAGCAGCATTCTCCCCCTTCACCTTCGGCTCTGCAGCCTACCCTCTCCCACTTCTATCTGTCCAAGTTCAGTCCCCTCCCCTCCACTCTCAGCCCTTTCTCTGTCCAGACCCCAGCCTTGTTCCCATCTTATGACCCAAGGAGCTCCCTCACA